GAGGCGGGTTAAACCACCTTCCCTTCCCTTGGCTTGCTCAGGATCCCCGTGGCTACAGAGAGCCCGAGCAAGCCAGCTGCTGGAGGGATGCTAGCCTGGGCCATCCAGGTAATGGCTCCAAGAACTGTACCTCTTACATTTGCAGTTTTCATACACTTTTGGCCTTCATGATTGCAGAGGAACTGAGGGCTGTGTGAAGCTATGTGGTAGGGCACACATTATGTGTCTGCTAGAGGGGTGGGAAAAGGTAAGCCGGTACTACTTAGCCAAATTTATTATGTTTTTATCTCTCAAGGCTGCCCAAGTCTGTATATAAATCCATACAGGTTATGGGGTGGTAGTATGACCATGTTCACCAGAATATGGCCAGTGATCTATAGTGATCTATAGACTTAGAAAATGTAGCCAACAAAAACCTCTTTGCTCAACTAATTGGCCACATGAAAGGTAAGTATTCTTTAGTCTAGCAGCAGAATAGGGTGAATGAGGCATCTCAGAAATTGCACTGTAATGATTTTTTTAATATCCAAAACATGCAATAACATATTCACTGTGTAACATATCTATTTTGTCAATAAACTCATTGTGGAATGCTATGCAGTTATTCCAGTCAAACCCCACAGATTAAATGGTTTTAGGCTGGAATAATTCTGCACTGCGAGCAAGCAAAAGTCCCCATTCACAAAGCATTGTGTTCCTGGCCATTGTGTTCATTTCCCTGCCCACTGAACTCTCATTATTTCTGCTTCGCCCTTGGCAGACTCAATGCACATAGAAGATATGGAGGCAGTGCAGAAGCTCCAGGACCTTCTCCACGAAGCTCTTCAGGACTACGAGCTCAGTCAACGTCACGAGGAGCCACGGCGCACAGGCAAGCTGCTGCTGACCCTGCCCCTCCTGAGGCAGACAGCTGCCAAGGCCGTGCAGCACTTCTACAGCATCAAACTGCAGGGCAAGGTCCCCATGCACAAACTCTTCCTAGAAATGCTGGAGGCCAAGGTCTGACAGGCCTGGCTGTACCCACACTGCCCGGGAAGCAAACTGAGAACAGAGATGCAGCCATGGAGCAAACCAAACTGAGGTGGCAGCTGGCTTTTATCTCCAATCATTTATTACAGAAGAATTATTTAACGTCCATCTGGTGACCTGCCAGCCTGTACATCCATCTGAAGATTATTGTGTACAGAAGGGGAAACTCTTTTAATCAACCTCTCTCTCTCTCTCTCTCTCTCTCTCTCTCTCTCTCTCTCTCTCGCTCTTTCTCTCTCTCTGTGTGTGTGGCTACACCTCCTGTGACAGCCATCTCTCTCTCTCTCTCTCTCTTCTTTTTTTGTGGAGAATTCCAGAACAAACTCTTGCACTTGCAGAGGGAGCCAAAGGAAATTTGGAGCCCCAGGGCAGTGATGCTCTTTGCACTATCCAGGGCAGCTGATTCCTCTCTCTTCCTACCTTCTTTCTTCTAGAGAAGGGGAGTAGGGACTGAAGCAGAAAATGGTGAAAAATAAGAATTTATAGTGTTTATAGCATGGGGGTGCTGGAGAGGGGGGTAAAAAACATGGGCGCCAGTGGTTCTGGGGCTTCATACCATTCTTTGAAGTGCAAGCCTTTGTGACAGTTGCTGGTTTGGAGAGGCGCATCATGGAATCTCTTTAAGTCCAAAATGGCTGCCCCTTGTGCTTAAACTATTCATAAAACATGTACATAAAGAGACCCTGCTTCATATTGGGAGGGACAGGTCTAACCATGTAAGATATCCTGTGATCTTGTACAGTGTCTTTGCACCTGGCTTCCCCCCAGCCACCCATGTGTGATCACAACATTCCCAATGGCTGCTAGAGAAGCTAGAGTTATATCCTTGGAAGGAAGGCCTCATTGTCTGAGAGCATGCAGAGGAAAGTGGGGAGAGGCTGACATTTTTGTTCCAGGGTCCTGTTTGCTTGATAATCCCCTCACCCTTCTATATGTGGTGCTATTTAAAACCCCTCTACCTCCTTTCTTCTTTTCCCACTTGTCACAGAACTTGCCTGGCATGAGAGGGTTCAGATGAGAAGGTATCCCCAAAGGAGGCCGTTTCCCAGTCTTTCTGGAACAAATGGACGTCTAGATCTAAATTCAGATGTTATTGATATTAAGTGATGGAGGGGGGAGAATCACCTCAGACGGCTGTGGGGCTTGTATCATATCAAAAGAATCACCCCCCCACCCCACCCCCCCACCACTGCCACTTGGGGTGATATTTGACCATTGCTTCCTAAATAACTCTTCTGTCCTCCCCGGATTCAGCAACTCTTGTATTGAGGTTATTTGCTTGAGTCTAGCCCAGGTCAGTGATCACAGGGCTTAATTTGAGCTACAGCCCGCTCTGACTGCCAGGCTTTAGCCCCAAAGGCATGTGAAGTGGGAAATAGGTGGGTGCCTCTGAGAACTCATAGAGCATTTCCCTTGCTACTGAGGAGAATGGTCCAATGCCTTCGCTTGGATCCTACCACACTTGCTCAGCAAAGTTTGAATTCTTCCTCTGGTAGAAGTGGAGTGATAGGATGCAAGCCCTTGAATCTGAACTCAGCAGGTAGCACTTCCAGGTTATGGGATATGACTTCCAGGTAGGCTCAAGGACCCCACCACTGTCATTAGGGCTCAAGCATCATTTCTCTGTGCATAGTACAAACTTGTAACATAGGTCTGTTGTATAGCTTGGTGCAGGCAACGGGTGCTTTCACAGATGCTGAATAATGCACTTTCAAGTCACTGTCAGTGCACTTTGGAACTGGATTTTGCTATGTGAAAGAGCAACTCTACTTGCAACTGATCACTAAAGTACACTGGAATTGGAATGAAAGTGCATTATTCAGTGTGCTTGAAAGCACCTAAGGAGTCAACATAAGGCGGTTCCCTCTCCCTGATACCACCCCATGCATACAGTTGTATGAGTCATGAAATAAATGTCTGTATTTTATTTTGCAATGTCATAAATAGATCAGATACAGTAATGAACTTACAGCCTGAGACTGCCCCCCCAAGAGGGGGGCCTGAAGTGGAGGCAGTGTTGGCCAAGATGAACTTCTCCTAGAAAGTAAAATGTCATGGTAATGCAGAACCCAAGCCAAAGCAATAAAATGTACAGATGGCAACCTTCGATTAGTAGGTGAGGGCTGCGTTTTCTTCCCCGGGTCAGTGGGAACCGCAGCTCACCCTTTCAGCCTCAGCTCATTTCTTGTGCTGCTCCTTCCAAACTCCAGCCGAGTTTGTTTGGGGTTTTTTAAACCCTCCAGCTCTTTTTCTATAATTTCTTTGGTTCAGTTGCTTTTCCATATATTGGGGGGGGGGACGGACAGATATATTTCCCCATCACTTTGGCAGACTCACCTTTTATCAGAGTAACCCTCTTGTCTGAATGGCCTTCCCTATCCTACCGGCAGCAGCGTTCTCTGAATGGCAGGCCAGGCAGATGTCCTTTTGCAAAGTGAAATTGCCACTGGTGTAAGAGAGAGAGGACACTTGAAGTTTCAGGAGCCTATTGAGAGAAGCATACTCATTCTTATTTACAGAAATGAGTTTTCCTTCTTTGCCACCATGGAACAGAAAGAAGAGTAAAGTTGTACTAAACAGGAGGGAAAGGGGGCAGTGCAGAAACTGATAGTTTAATTCCCACCTTAGTGAGGTTTCTTGCCTGTTTTTTACAAATAGACTGAGGTTGTTTTAAAAAAAAAACATTAGAGCTGTCCTGCTGGATCAGACCAAAGTCCATCTTCTCCACTGGTGGCCAGTCTTTGGTGCTCAGAAGCAAGGAACAATGATGATGGCCTTCTTCTTCTTCTGATAGCCCACATCAGCAAGTAATCAAGGATAGATTTTGCACAGAAAGACGCTTTCTGAAATGACCAGATGTGTCACTGTTCTATCCGGGGGGGGGCAGTCCCTGTTCCTCTTTTGGGATCACTCCAACAAATTGAACAAATGGGTATAGATCATATAAACCTCAGTGAATTTGAAGAAGACCACAATTGTTTTTTTGGGGGGGATATAATCTTCTGTAATGCAGAGGCAGGGAAGGGAGCTGCAGTTGCAAGTTTGGAATTAACTTGTCAGAACATAAACCTAAGGAGGTTTATAACAATCTGCCACTGCAGAAACTTGGCAATTATTTATAGGCTGAGGGGATGCCACTGATTAGCAAAAGTTTAATGAGATGGTGACAGCTGTAGTTCCCTGCGTTTGGAACTGGAAAGTAATGTTTGTGTGCTTGTGTATTCAAAGAAGGGGTTTTTTTTGCCATGCGACAATTACACAATTGTATAAATGATCAATAATAAGACATAATATATGATCAAAGAATAATGATCAAAGAGAGTAAATTATCAAACACTTTGCAAGGAGTGAACTCTTAGCACAAGAATGGTTCTGACTACCACAAGTTCTTGTACAATTATAGTTTCCATGGAGTAGGCAAATCCCTATGCGCTAACTAACCCCATGGTGAACTTAGAACAAGGCAATGCAGGTAATGCACCTTTATTAGAATGAAAGCATGAGGGTAGTCAACCCACTCCTTTCCAGGGGGCTCCTGTCAAGGGTCACCAACTTGTAACCCACAGTGTACCCTCCCCCCCCCAGCGCTTTGCATATACATACACAGGCTGTGGACTTTTGCTAACAGTGCAACCCTTCCACATGTTGCAAAGATGCTGCTCTTATCCACTGAGAACAGAAATCTCTGGCCTTTATTTAAAAAAAAAAGTTGACGGGAATCAGTTCAGATCCATGGTGGGATCCCCATCCCACTTGTATCTGAGAAAACTGGGCATTACTTTGCAATTTAAAAAAATGTGAAGAAACTGCAAAACCACAACCAAATAATATTGTTCATGCCAAATAGGGGAGTATTCATTTCTCTTCATAACCAGACTTTTGGAACTCTTAAAAATATATTTTGAAACCATGCTACAGCAACCTGTCAAAAGGTAAAAATATGGAGAAAGACCTAAGAATGGAAGTAGCTGACCATTCTGCTAGCTGAGAGCTACAAGAGAAGCGCCTCTGTGTAGCTACAGGCTACAGTCAATCAAGTGGTCAAAGCCCCCACCCAGTTCCTGTGGCTTGATGGTTAAAGGGAAGCTGAAAAGATTGGGAAAGTCTGTGCAAGCTATGCAGGGTACCATAGTCCAAGAGTGAAATAAACAGTATCTACTCAACTATTATCTGCTCCTGAAAAAAAACAAAAACCTGTTACATAACTAATTAAATAAATCGTATTCTTGTGGTACAGGTCATTTTGAACAAAATGAGAAATAAAACCAATGTAAAAGCAAAACCGGTTGAGCTGACATTTATTGGGGGTTCTGAAGCATATTTTCCCACACTGCTTTACATTGTAAAGCCCATTTTACTGTGCACAATTCATAGCAGAACTGCTGGATTAAACACAAACATTCTTCATGGCACCTGAAATGTCTGGTATCGTACCTAACCCAGTACCCTACGCATCCAGTCAAAGTATGGATTTGTTAACACAGCAATATTGGGTTTTTGTCCTCTCATGGAAACAAAGAATTCCTACACCTAACCCCTCTTGTGTATAATGCAAAAATGTTTCCATCTGCTGTAATCTTCAGTGATCTTTGAGACAGACCCCACCCTTGGGTTGTCATTTCCTGCAAATCAGCTGAATTGAAGAGCATTGGCTCTTCTTCAAACTTTGTGGAGTGTTCTGTGAATTTGGTAGTTGTGGAAGAGAGATCTCCTTTGGGAAACCCCAAAATTGCCAGTTCCCTTTTTTTGTGCATATGTATCATGTGGCTGCCTGTGCTGTTGCTTTTCTTGCAGCTGGAACTGTGCTTGGTGCTGGGTTTTACAAATAAACCTTTTACATCAGTATATATCTTATGGCCCTACTTCACCAATGCACTATGCTACAGGACTCAGTGAAGACCCCTCACTAACCAGATAGGGAGGAATGGAGGGGTGTTTTGCTGCTGTTAGACATGCCAAATAAACAGAAAAAGTTA